GTTGCAAAAGTGCCCCTTCCAGAAATAGGTTGAAAGAAGAACAATCTGAAAAAGCTTCTTCTTTTCAGGGGGACTTTGTCTTGCCAGTTAGTTTCCTCCTTCCTTCCCTCTATGGCTGCATCCGCACTGCAGAAATAATCCAGGTTGACGCCACTTTAACTGCCATGTCTCAATGCTGTGGAATTCTGGAAACTGTAGTTTTGTGAGACATTTGACCTTCTAGTACAAAGACATACACAGTTCTGTTTTCCAAGAGAAGGAAATAGCTGGGAAGTTAGAAGGAACACTATCCTCAGCTTCTGTCTTAAGACATGCCTCACTTTGCCGAATGGTAGAGCCAGCACTGGCTCTGCAGTGAAGACTTTATTGAACATTATTGACATTGCTGAACATGCATTGAAGCAATGTTGGCTGTGCAAAACCACAATGCCACACAGAGCTTTAAAAAAAATTAAGAAGTGCAGGGACGCCCCTGCCTTGAACAAAATGACTGCACCCCTCTTTTTGTGGCTGTAGTTCTCTGAACCTTGCATCTATTTTTTCCTCTTCCTGGAATTCATTCTCTTTGTATGCTAAAGCAAGGGCTGCTACAAGAAATAGCAGGATGTGGGGTTTCAGATGCTGGCATCACCTTTTGCAAGGTTGTGGCTCTTTGCTGGCTACCTGGAAACCACAAAGCAACAGCCACTGTAGAAAAGGGAGGAGGAGGAGGCAGAAAGAGAGGGTAGGGAGACAGTAACTGTAGTCAACCTATGGTGACATTAATTTCATAGGGTTTTCTTAGATAAAGAATCCTCAGGGGTGGCTTTGCCAGTTCCTTCCTCTGAAATATAGCCTACAGCACCTGGTATTCATTGGTGGTCTCTCATCAAGTACCAACCAGGTCTGACCCTGCTTAGCTTCCAAGATCATTTAGAGTATTTAGTAACTGCAGTGCCTTTCGAGAAAGCTACAGTTATCAAGAGGCAGGAGTGAGGAATAGCAACCCTTTCAGAAGAAACAGTGGGCTTGCCATCTGCAGAGTTAAGCATCCATGGACGGCAAGCCTCATTGCCACTAATGGCCATGTGTGCATGTGGCTGATGCAGAGTGGCTGCACACACCTGCACTGCCATTGAAAACTGGGACTTGAGGTCCTGCATGTCTTTTCATCTGCAGGGGAGTCCGGAATGGAACCCCTGTGGATAGGAAAGGCCCACCATATTTAAGAATGGTTGCATCAAAGGCCAACATGGGCAAGAGGCTTTTCAGTCGCTGCTTGACCAGCTGCTTGGTCACTGCTCCTTTTGCACCTGGTTAACCTGGGAGAGGGATGCGGTGGCTTAGTGGTTAAGACACCAATTTGATGATTGGAAGATACCTTTATTGGCCAACCAAAATGCACAATATACTTGTTGCAAGCTTTCGAAGCTCCACGGGCTTCTTCTTCATTAGGCAAGATGTTACAAACCAACAGGAGAAAAACAATTGGAGATGTCAATCAGATGCCTACATTTGGATGTTTCTGTCCTTAGTGAAGATGACAAGTGGAGGGGATCTTTTGCAGGCTGTCCCCTCCTCCTTCTGGCCATGTACCTATTGGGAGATTTGCAAAGACCAGGAAATTTAAAGTCCATTTGCATCTCAACAAGGACCCCTCTCACATCTGTACATGGTGATGGGGAATACCATGGTTTGGACGATTAAGTGTTCATAATTATTGGAATTCCCATGTATGGTCATTGAACCATTACAATGACCTAATGTGTTTCAAAAAATACTACCTTTAAAGTTATAAGGCTTCCTTCCCAAGAAGGATTTCCAAGGCTCTGGACAGCAGGGTGCCAACGGATGGCATGTCCAGCCCTTTCCTGATAGTGGAGCACACTGTGACAAACACAGCACCTTGGAAGTCCTTGTGCTGTCTGGCTTCAAAGTTAGTTTTTTGTGGGTAGCTCCATCTATCAGGATCTTGGCTAACATATCTTGAGTGGCTGTTATTCACTGACTTATCGCTCAGTGATCTGTCCATTCTTTTTATATCTTCTGTATTTATTTGTTAGTTGTTTACTTGTAATTTGTATTGGGGGTGTTGGCAATCTGTATGATCCCCACAGGAGTTACTAGAATTTAACCAGAATTTTTGAATACCGTTCAGTAGGGACATACATTGAGGAAGCCTTTCATGCATTCAGGAAGCCCAATGGTATTGTTCCAACCAAACCACACAGAGGACTGTAACTGGCAGAGTTTGAAACAAACAAGGTCAAAGTAATGAAATTATTTGTAACAAGTTACATTATTTTCAAAACAAGGGCAAGGCAAGATTACGTTTAAAAATAACACAATGAATGGAAAGGAGTAACCTTATGTAACAAGTATACCTTTCTAGTTTCCTTTTAAGTCTACTTATAAAAGCATTTTAGAGGCATTTTGGCATAAATTTTTCACATTTTGTGTCAGTCTCTTATCAGACCTAAGATCCTTTCCTCAAATGAATGAAAAGCAGCAGAACAATGAAACAAGTTGCTTTTCAAAACTCTAATGTGCAATGACAGCAGATTCCTTTCAAAACACTGTAAAGGAGTAACAGGAATTATTTCCTTTTAAAAAGTAGTATTCCAAGCCCCGGTAACCTCCTTCAATCAACAGCCATTACAGGGTGCATCTACACTATAGAAATAATACAATTTGACTTTAACTGTCCTGGCCCTGAATCCTGGGATTTGTAGTTTTGTGAGGCACCAGACAGCCTTTGTGAGAGCATGTAAAAGTACAAACCCCAGGATTCCATATGGACGCCACTTAAAGTGGTGTCAAACTGTATTATTTCTACAGTGTAGATGCCCCCACTGTCTCTTTTCAGATTTCCTTTGGCAATATGGGAAACACAGATGTGGAGATGAGCAGAGCCAGAATGCAGATGCTCATGTCCCTTAGAAGTATGAATGCTGAGGGAATTTGCCTAGGAAGAATTCAAATGTTAACTATACCAGGGAGTCAGCTGCATGTCCTCCAATTCTATGTATGATTATTAGCATACAAAGGTCAGACTCTCAGATTTTCCCATTGGGAAGAAGGTCAATGGTGTACATGTGAATATTGGAGGGGTGTCTCTTTCAATTTGTTGAAAGGATGCCACTGGCTACTGCCATTTGTAAATCAGTTTTGTTGAGTGGCTCTTTGACCCTATCTCAAATGCTCTTTCCAATTGCTTTTTCAGGGCCCCGAACTCACATCTGGAAAAACTCAGAATGCCTCTTCTCCTCAGCCTTCTCAAGAAAGTAGCCAAGTCGTATACTGTGGTGGCCTGGCTTCCTTCCTGATACCACTTGTATTGGCTTTAGTTCATCTCTTTCACATATACTGAGCCTGGAGCTTCATGCCTGGGAGGGTATTATCCAAAAAGCAATTCAAGCCCTCATCAGCTTCAAGGAATGAATCCTTTCCAATCCAGCCAGCATATTAATTCAGCTACAGTCAATCCATAATGCTGTGCCTTCAGCCATTCTCCACAACCCAAGACTTCTTGGTTCAGTCTCCACCCCAATGGCCACCACTGTCTTCACCGCCTGCAAAATTAAAGAGGAAACAAAAGAGTGCTGTCGGGGTAGATCCTAAGTGCATGCCTTCATATGAGGCATAGCTGCATAGCTGATGAAGTTCACAGCAGTATGAAACAAGATGCTTGCCAGATGGAATTCCTCTTCATGAAGACATCTTGAGACTGATAGATCATCCAGCTGATGCTCTCCCCTATGTATTCATTACCAAGAGTCACAAATCCATCAAGAAATTCCTGTAGAGCAGGCTGCCTAGGAACGGACTGGAGCTGCGCATAAGTGCTGCAGTGCTCTCTCGCACATCTCCTGTTTGTTTCTGTTAGGAGAACTTCTTCAGCCATCATGGAGAGCTGCATCTCACTCTGCCCCTCCTGCCTGTCACCTGAAGTGACCACCTCACCTTGTCTCATGAGATGACCACCTGCTTCTGTTTTTGGAAACCTGCCACCAAGACTACATTGCAGGAAGCATTCTCCAGCATTTGGGGAAATGTGTGGACAAAAGATCAGTTCCATCGATGCCTGCTTCAGCTGCAGCATTTCATGGGGAAGAGAAGATCACTTCCAACTTGGCTCATATCAACACAGGAGAGGCAAAGTGGTGTCTGCAAATGCTCTGCTGGTGTCTCCTGCAAACCCCCTCAAAGTTTGGTTCTGTCTAATAAATAAATGCTTCTTGGCTGGCTAACCCATCTTATCGTTGTCTTGGCCGCTTAAACAACAAAACAAAACAAATTAATTGAGGCCTTGCAAGACAAGTCTGGTCTATGTCTGGTCCCATCATAACATTTTGCAAGAGTCTTTCCCAGCCCTATGGGCTCCAGATGTGCTGGTTTATAAAGCCATTAAACCTCTAGCCACCATGCAGAACACAATCACAGTGTCCCTCTTCAGAGTTTACCATTGCAATCTGTAATAAATATAGAAAGCATATCCTTATAATATAATGAAGCCAAGAAGTGGGATTGCATGCACTGTCTGAAACCAGCCTGCTGTCCGAAACCATTTTTGATGATTTTAAGCAAAAAGCTGTAGCAGGTATTTTACATTCATATGAAAATCAAAGTAAGAGGAAGGATTTTGGTTTTTTAAAAGAGCAATCCAGCGACATCTTATTCTTGCCCTTGCAGAAGTAGAGCTAACAGTTATCCTGTTATGCCTGGCAGTTCATTTTTTAAATGTTAAAAACAGGATGCATGCATGGCTTGTTCAGACAGTTAACTTTTACCCATGCTCCATTTCCCATTCAATACACAAAAACACAAACCACATTTTCAGATCACAATGAAGATAGGAGGGAGGAGGCTTCCTGTTGTCAACCACTACAGCAAGCTAACTTTCTTCTCAAGAGGATTTTTGGAGGACAGGATAGGGGGCCCAGTTTAGTGTGTGTGTGTGTGTGTGTGTGTGCGCGCGCGCGCACGCTAGAGTGTGTGTATGTGTTTACGAGGTAAAGAGAGCCGGCATGGTGTAGTGGTTTGAGTGTTGGACAATTATTCTGGAGACAAGGGTTCAATTCCCTATTCAGTCATGGAAATTCACTGGGTGACTTGAGTTAGTCACACACTTTCAGCCCCAGAAAAGCCCGTGATAGGGTTGTTCTCAGTTAGAAACTACTTGAAGCTACACAACAACAACAACAACACACATACACCCTTAACATAAACAAAGCACAGAAAGACCTGGTGACCCAAAGAAAATGACCAGAAGTGCACTTGGACACTATACTTTTATTAGAACTAGCCAAGAAATAGCGAGCAAGCTTTCAAATTCACCAGAAATATTCATTAGGCTGAATGGAAGGTGGTGGAAAGAAAAGCTGGCTTGATGCCATTCTGTTTTCTTTGTGATTAGGAACCTGAATGGTCAGCTTTTGTGCTTGCAATAAATCCTGGTAATAGGTGGCTTTTATTTTTTAAAACATGAGAGATTGTCCATTGTGACCCTCCAACATTTCACATATGAATACTGGGACACATGTGGCCAAGCAACATCACAGTGTGGGCCCAGATAGCAAACGTTATTAATAAGAAAGAACACAAGCTAGGTGAGGCTGCAGCAGTTTGCCTTTGCCTGAGTCTATGAGGAAGAACAGGATTTGACAGCCTCTCTTTTAATTCCTCCGTCCTCCTGAATTAAGCGAGTGCAAACTCCTTTTGCACTGTGACCTCAATTTGCCGCAATCAAAGTAAGCAGAGGGGGAAAGTGGGAGGAGAGGAGAGAAACTGGGACATCTCAAAAGCAGCCGAAAAAGTAGGGCAATGGAGGATTCATTGGGACTGTCCCTGTCAAATCAGGATGGTTGGAGGATATGCTATCATTCATCTTCATAGTCTTAGGCACAACTTGAGACCCACACAGCACCTAGTTGAGCCTAAGCTAAGTATACTTGCAATCCTAAAGACTTTGGAATGATTACTTTTTTGGGATTTGAACTCACAGAACCCACTGGCTAGAACGGTTAGGTAGGGGCCATGCTGGCTCAAGAAATCTGGGGATTGTGATTTAAAAAGGGAGGAAAGGGTACATTTTTCCAAGCTCTGATTGACAGAGGTGAGAATTATATGTCCCTTCAGATGTTGGACTCTCGGTCCTGCCATTGCTCACCCTTTCTTATGTTGGCTAGAGTTGTTGCAGTTCAACAATGTCTGGACAACACTGCATGTTGGTCATCTGCATTATACTCCATTACAGTCTTTGCAGTCAGGGGTGGGAGCTGTTCACTTACCAATAATTTCCAATTTTAGGTCTCACAAGCCCCTGTTGGCATGGCCAGTGGTAGAGCTTTGTAGGATTTGTCGTATACACACTTCCCTGGGAGGAGGTCTTGTTGGTCAAAAAGAGATTTCTTCACAACCAGAGATGTGCAACACTGTGATGTTGGTGAATCTCTCCTCTTACTCTCCAGACTGTAACTAATGACAGATCTTGTGGTTAACCAGATTGCCCCCTTCACCACACACACACTTTCTGAGATAAAGAGTTCTGAAGAAGTCATGAACTCTTTCCCTGACATTTATTTACAGATGAGCAGATTTCCTTCCCTCATCTGCTCAGAAGTATTCCCAGATTATACTGTTAATCCATTTTACATTTGAAATAAGATTTAGCTGCTGTGGCAACCTCCCTGATTGTCTACCATTCCCTTCATCCTCTCTAGAGTCTCTGTGGGCCACTGGTATGGAGGTACAATATGGAGTGCAAGTAGGCATCACAATTGGTCAGGCTGCACCTGGAATCCTGTCTCCAGTTCTGGGCACCACAATTCAAAAAGGATGTTGAAAAACTGGAGCGTGTCCAGAGGAGGGTGACTAAAATGGTCAAGGGTCTGGAAATCATGCCCTACGAGGAACGACTTAGGGAACTGGCTATGTTTAGCCTGGAGAAGGTTAAGAGGTGATATGAGAGCCCTGTTTAAATATTTGAAGGGATGTCATATTGAAGATGGAGCAAGCTTGTTTTCTGCTTCTGGAGAGAACAGGGCCCGGAACAATGGATGCAAGCTGCAGATTCCACCTCAGCTTTAGGAGGAACTTCCTGACAGTGAGAGCTGTTCAACAGTGGAAGACACTCTCTCGGAGTCTCCTTCTTTGGAGGTCTTTAGACTGGATGGCCATCTGTCAGGGATGCTTTGATTTTGAGTTCCTGCATGGCAGAATGGGGTTGGACTGGATGGCCCTTGGGGTCTCTTCCAACTCTATGATTCTATGAATTCCACCTCAACATTAGGAAGAACTTCACGACAATGCTTTCCCAGTCATGGGGCACCTTGAGACAACCAATTGCGGCATGACCTTGTAGGGTCTTTCCAATTGCTTTCTCTCAACATGCCCTGTGTTTCAACATCTCACAAACACTTTGCCTAACTGGAATTCTTGTTTGTTGGTCAAACTGGTTAGGACTTCTGTGGACACCTGGAAGACCAAAGTTTGAGAAAGACTGGAATCTTGCCCTTCCCTGTAGACTCAGGCAAAAGCAAACCTCTCCCCATTATTCTTCCTCATTAATAATGCCCCCCCCCTCATCGTGATCACACTATGATATTGCTTGACCACACCTTTCTCCTGGTTTCATTGAAATATCCTCATATGGACTGCTGGCCATCTTCCTTGCCTGTTCTCAGATGTGTTGCAAACAAATTTATTTCTGTTTCTTACATATAATGTATAAGGCTACATACTCTACAACATTCCTTCTTGATTAAAAAAAAAAAGTCTGCCAAAGCACTAAGGAGGCACACATAAGATTGCAGGATCTCTTTTGTGTGTTTTTTTACTAAATTCCTGAATGCCACCAGCTGTAGCCTGGTGCAAAATATGGGCTCAGGCGGTTGGACATTTGCTAAGCATTAAGGAACAAGGTAGCTCTGAGAATAGGATCCGGTCCAAGTACTTGTGACTGGTAGTACCAGTAGCAAGCTTAGAAATGCTTGCACACTTCTAGTTCCATTCTTCTCCAGCAACCTCATTTTAAGGAGTGATTTTAAGTTGTTACTGTTAAGTGAACGGGAGCCTGAAGAACATTAAATCATGCAGACATCTATGGCTAGCCCTTTTTGCCCACACCTACCCACATCATAGCTTTCCCCTTAGCAGAAATGCCCACCTCATTGCATAGGGTAATGTCAGGGAGAAAGAAGATGAGGAATCAAAAGGTGGATCCCACAGCTGCTGACTTCCAATTGTTTAATAATGGCAGAAAAACAAAAGGATATTCCTCCTCCTTCCCCTACACTCTGATCTAAACCAGACTTGCTGAAAGAAAGCTTTGGGTCAGTGCAGGGTGACCAGATGTCATAACTGCAAAGGAGGACAAGGCACTGAAAACTATAGGATATTCAAGAAAATGCAGGACGTTGCAAAATAAAAGCTAAATATAAATATAAATTCATGCTCAAAATGCTCATTTTTAAATTCTTCATGGAGAGAAGGTTGAAATGTAGGACCTGTCTTGGAAAAGGAGGATGCCTGGTCACCCTGGGTCAGCAGTGCCTAGTCATTCTCATGCTTGTAAGCCAGTGAATCCAATGTGGGTTTTGTTTTTGTTGTTGCTGTGGATTGATTGTCATTAAGCGGGATATAAATAAATTTTATTATTATTATTATTATTGAAGTCATTTCCGACTTATGGCAATCCTAAAGCGAACCTATCCTGGGGTTTTCTTGGCAAGGTTTGTTCAGAGGAGGTTTGTCGTTGCCTTCCCCTGAGGCTGAGAGCATGTGACTTGCCCAAGATCACTCGGTGGGTTTTGTGGCCAAGCTAGGAATCGAACCCTGTTCTCCAGAGTTGTAGCCCAACATTCAAACCACTATGCCATGATGACTCTCTACTGTAAGGTTTATTCAAACTTTTAAAAATGCTGTCCAAGGGGCTGAACTTTTTCTCCAAAATAGATCCAGAAGTGTGACTATATGGGAAGAGAGGCAAACCGAGAAAATTGCCACTGCAATAGCAATGAACATTTCCTTCGGTCCTCAAATTCTAGCACTGCAATGAGCAAAACATTGGAAATTATTCACAACTAGAACACTCAAGTTTGTGGTGCTCATATTCCCTTGGTCATTTCGCCTGTCCCTTTTCTTTGGATGCCTAAACTGCATCACTAAAAGCTCAACTGAGGTTTGAAGTTACTTCAACGCAAAAAAATTGGAAAATTTAATGGGAAGCAGAACTCTTATTTGGGGCGCAATGCTCTCATTTGTCCCCGTCCCCTTGCATAGCTACACTACAGATCCTATTCTGTTACACAAACTGCTGCTTTATAGAGGTCTTGGATTATAACCCCCATCATTGGTGGCTGGGAATGCTAGGAGTTGTAGTGCAATACATCCAGAGGGCAGAAGGCTGTTGTATACCCAACAGACTAGAGTTTTGCAGGAGGATGAAATATTAAGAGGTCAACCCTTCACAAAGTGCCAACAGTGTTGATATAAATCCATCAATATTTTATCTGTTCGGCAGCTGAACCCTTCAATGGCTAATCTGCTCCAAAAGCCCAGTCATAAT